GTCCAAATTATTAATTCGAAGATAATTGCAGAACAAATCAATATTAAATGATGTAAATTCGCAAATCATTTTATAAAATAACTTTATAAATTTGCCTGGATTAATTATGGTTTCCTCTTCAATAAATGCAACATTTCCACGTGGCCTTTTTTTTCGCCGTGCATCTTCCAGTGAAATCGGTATAACCGGTATTCGTCTATTTAGTGCCGTGTTATACTCAGTTAAGTTCTGGAACTTTTCAAACAACGAATTTCTCTTTAGGTTTGATTTCAGGACCAGAAACAAATTCAATGTTCAATAAATACAATGTGGAATAACATAACAATATTTCCTGTGATTTGGAACAAAACTTCTTCAGAAGGTCAAGACTATAGAGTGATCTAGAATAACGCAGTGCACAACTACCAGAAACAGATCCAAGAAATTCACTCCGCCAGCATTACTAAGAAAATTATGCTTCTTTACAGTGTGGAAAGACTAATCGGGGTAACTGAGATACAAATAGGATGAAACTCTGATTTTTTTGATAGAGATAACCGAAGCTGCAAATCCTCAGTCACAAAAAAACCATGAAATGAGACTAGGAAAAGCACTCAAAAGAAACTCCAGAATTTAGTGCTCCACCTCAAGCTCATGTTCCTCTGGTAGCAAATCTTTATTTCCTTCATCGTCATCATTGACCGAATCAAGCTTAGCCCGCAATATATATCGTCTTGTTGAAGCACCGAAATGAAATATGCTGGCAATATCTATGAAAATTGGTTGCTTCGGTTCGATGCGAACTTTACCGACAAAGGTACCATGACCTGGAAAAAATGTTTTAGATTAATTTTCTTCACAAGAGGACTTCACTTTACCGATGTGACTTGACTAAACGATCTATCTACTTCAAGAAACACAATTTCTTCTTCAGTGCTCTGAAATACTGATCAGTGATGTAATATAATGTGAAATGAGACTTTATGCTTAAAAATATAATCTATAAAAGCGGGTAATGCTAATAAAGACTGTAATTACACTCAAACACGAAGTCATATTTAATATATTCTGATAAGCCTTTTCAGTTGAATTTATATTTTCATATTGCTACAAATATTGATAAAAACAGTGAAGGACCCACAGCTATTCATGTCTACAAGTGCAAATCGTTGCAGGAATTTATGATAAATCAGAACGGCATGCACTCTGGAACATGATGCATGTTCCACCACAAAATCACATTGCTTCGGATTACGTCCAAAGAAATAGGCACGCTTTTCATCAACCATCAATTTCTGAAATAATACACATAAAAAATTCCAAAATGTAAAAATCTGATATTCAGGCAATAAAGCTGATGTGATTAAAACATGACAGTAATAAGAACCTGAGTTTATTCCCATATTGTCTGAGTCTCTACCTAGTGACTGTTAGTAAAGACTTGTGTGGTCTAAGTTTAACCAGTTAATACGTAGTACAGTCTTCTGGACTTGCTCTAAGTTTCTAAGATGCAAATGCCAAACATATCCAACTGTTGAAGTTGCACAGTGATGGAAAACATGACTTCGAGTAAGATTACATAAAGCAAACGATGTACCTGGATCAACTGGTCACCTTTCACAACATCAAGATGACATCCACTCGGTGGTCTCCCTGCCCAAGGAGGTATTTCATATTCGACTATGGCATTTACTGCACCTTCTCCTGAAGCACCTATAGCAGATACACCTGTAGTCACTGGTATAGAAGTCACAGTGCTTATAGAAGTAACTGCTCCAGCAGTTTTTTTTCCATCCTTTGATACGTTCAAGGACATTGATGCCACCAAATCTCTACAAACTGTAATTTTAAAGCAAGAAAATCCGAATGCTACAGCAAAATATTTCTTAATGTTCACACTCAAATCTGAAATTATCGCTCCTTGCGAATACCAATATCCAGGTCGGAACAAAGTTATTTTAAATAAGTCTATCCCAAAACTGGAAAACCTGTAACTTAGTGAAAATGCAAGACGCCAAACTTGTATAATACTGTTAGCAAAGTTACAAAACCAGTATTTCAAACTATTAACGCACTTCATGGAAAAATAATTTATTGACGATACTGCAGAAACACGATGTATAACGTTGAGATAAAGCCAGAAATTCATAATTATAAACACATGACTACCTATTGCAAAAATCTGAGTGTTATCGAGGGCAATGTCAAATACTACCACATACTAATGAAAAAAACAGATCGGATAAAGCGATAAGTTATGTAAATGCAAGCCAGTAATGAATAAGCAAATTATTCTAATCAATAAAATACAAAACTATGAAATCACTATACAATATAATACCAGCTGAAAATCATTCGGTAGGATAACGGAGAAATTTCTCTCTAAATACCAGTAAGTTGATATGGAAGTAATAAAAGCTCGGCAATTTGAGATTCATCGTAAATCAGGAATTTTGTTATCGAGAGCAACGGAATTCTCCTCTGTTACGATACGTGATTTGCTTTTCGATTCCAAACGACAATTTATACAAGCTGCTGAAAAGCAAAAGAATACGCAAAAAAGAAGTAACGACCGTACGAGATGAGGACTTCATGCGTTAAGTGCTTCGGAATCAATAATTAGGCAACTCAAATGTTAAGCAAGGCAAGAAACATGCTGCACAACATTCCCTATCTTCCCGGCGTTTTAAATAAAACTTCTTCGTGATACTACGGGCACAAATGTTATCCTAGCTCTCATCACCTGAAGTAAGGTAGACTTCAACCCATTTATTTAATTACAGAAATGATTTATGAACTCGTGCATTTCAAAATCATCCAACAGAATTGATCCACTTACATAGATTCTTTCCATCTCTATCTGTTTCGAATATAGAATTGAGAATCAAACGAGGCACACGCATAGTCTGATCATCTAATAAAACGATATCATATCCATCCAAATATTTAGCCAGTAATGTTTCGTCATTGTAATTCAGAAAACCTATTTTCAATGCAACTTGTTCACATTCTAGACCTACGTCCATTTTCGAATCTAAAATTAAGATGAAATTTAAAGTAGATATGAATCATAAATAAAGCAAAGTTGATATCAAAAATAAATGTGCTTCAGAATTAATTCCTCGATAATTTTTAATTACATTTTTATCAATTTAAAATGAAGATAATGATTGACAGTACCTCCTAGAGAGTCGCCCATCAATAAAACACACGTTCGTGATGAAATTTCACTGAATAGCGACCCATAACGACTAATAACAGCACTATTCTTACAAAATGTGTGAATAAGAGGTTCACTAAATGCAACTGCTACATCGTTTTCATCATATTTCTAAAATCTTTACACATTTAAATAACTTCCAAAAACCCAGTTTGGACACTCCGCCATGTCAAGGAAATGGTAACAGTTAGGGAATGTCCACACATGATATATAGTATCCTCAAAAGCTTCAAAAAAGCCCAGAAAGTATACTGTCATGTCCTAACGGACTAAATCCAGGTACCTCTATTATTGACATCCAAAAAGTTGACTACACTGGATGATTTGACGGTTACTAACGTAAGTCGTTTTGTTCTGAGTCATTCATAAAGTCTCATACGATCTCATATTGTATATTTGATTTGCATTCATAAGAGTACTGGGTGAGAACTCGTACTGAATGAGTGAAAAATCATTATACGGAAACACGCTAATATGTAATACCAAAACATAAAATTATTTTTGAAATAGGTGCAAAATTCTCTATGTAAGAGAGAGTCTTGGAACGGATTCCCGCTTTTATCAAAAAGTGATTTTACTTTTGAAATGTAGAAATTATAATCACCATCATGTTCGAAACAATGTGTATATTACTTGGAAAGCCGCCAAGTTTTTTTTGCAAAAAAAAATCAATCACATTGCCTATGCCAGCAGAAAAAATAATCAGAGGTACATTACGGTCGCGCAGCATTAACATCAATTCCTCTGCTTCCTCCCTGGAAAAAAAATATAATTGATAGAAAACCGGTCATTATCCCAAACGAAGACAAAGTACTCCACAATAAGTCATACATATCGGAAATGTAAAAAAGCATTGTGTAAAAAAGCATTGAAAACCACAGTAAAAGAGATATCATACGTTACTTGTCTATCACTTACTTTAATTCAAGCTTCGCTTCGGAAACAAATTTTTGGATCATTTTCTTCGTAAAACCAGTCTTAATGATGTGTTCGTGAGAGGTTCTCCACCTGGAATGAACTGCATATTATTATTTAGCGGATCTGGATAGGACCAGAATACAAGTAAACAACGAATGAAAGCATACCAATCTTCCATATGTGGAATTTTTTTCAGCGACTGTTATATGTGGGTCAAACTCAATCGGGAGGTACTTTGCTTTCAGACTTTCGAGAACCATACCAAGCTCCTGTGACACCGTCCATGCAACACTATCAAAAACGCCATGTGTTGTCAAACAACTTTTACCTTCAGCGTCGTGGAAACGTGATAGCGTATAATCAAAATCCGAGACTACCTTAATACGCATGCATCAGTTCACTCACAAATATTAAATAAAAGTGTTACTAAGCTTATAATATTTTTAAGTAAAAGTATTTAAGAATGAAATGTTCCATCTATTAATAAAATTAATCACTAAATAATTTGTTCCCAAGCACAACTAATCAATTGTTGAAAGTCTGAAAATTAAAGTTAGTGTTATATCTTTAGAATTGGCATGAAACTGACCTATTTCAATTAATAGCGTGTTACTGCAACCGATATACAAGAAGACAAAAAAGGAATCACATTAATTAGATCAAAGTTGGATAGAAATTCTAAGGCACAAAAAGGCGAACTATAAGCATAAAATAACATGCAAACTATGTCACTTAGGATATTAAAGTATCATTACTGCTTAAGAATATATTAAATAACAGCCTCACCAGAAGTTTATCCTTTTCTGCATTGATAATCTGGTTAAGTTTCCGTTCTACGACCGACGAATCCCGCATGCGCACTTTGTCATTGGTAAGCAACACATCGATCAACATATAAAAATCAGTGCTAAAAAGGAAAACACATATAAAGCTAAAGTTCACTATGGACGCAACAAACATTACATATGAAGTTCATCGAAACTAATTTTCCGGTCTACTCTGGTGAATAAGTATAAGTAGAGGAAACAACGATTTCCGCTCAGATTCTTCCATCATAGCAATAAGCGGTAAGCATTCTGCTATATTATTAATGTACTAGAAGATGAATAGTTTCCGGTAACCACTTTAAGGAATCTGAGAAATTTTTGGGAAACTTTAAAAATGACGTCCAAAAATGAAATTCGGTTCAAAAAATTAACAAGATGTTATACAAGGTGTTCCTGACGGAGCAAACTATTGGGATTGAACAGGTGCTCCAGAAATTTAACATTACCGCATCAGAGGACAAAACGTTATTGACATAACCACATAATAGGACAAAATGTTAAAATGATAGAAATCTCATTATGAAAGCTATGGTGCAGAAGAGAGCGCGAAAAAGGAAAAAAGTAGAATAAAGTTAGAAATTACTGGACCAGAAGGAAAACAATAATGATGGCGAAACGTGCAGACAAGCGCATTGCGACACCCGAACCGTAAAGGAAATGTATTACTCCGGGGTTACATCTCTTTGCAAGATTGCTGAGATTGTAAGAGCGGGGTGCATGCCAAGAACATTCAAGAACGAGCACTTACATGAAAAAATAACATGCATAATATGAATGAAGATGTTATCACTGAGACCATCTTTGATTGCTGCTAGTAGCATGTTTGAGTCATTAAGACTGGGCCTCCAGACTATCAAACCCAGTCACTCCCCACATTATGAAGCCTCACCTTCAGCTGAGGCCTAGGCAGTCATCGTCTGGGGACTTTCACAATCCTTGCACGATATTGCATCACATTTCTTATTATTGATTTCTCGCTAGCCGGCTACGAACCTGGAGATCCAATTGTTACTGGTCGACTTGATGGTCTGTGGTACATTGAGACCTCACGCGCGGTCGGGAGGTGTATTCCTTGAGAAGTTCCTGTACATTTTGTCATTGTTTCCTTAAAAATATTTGTTTATTTTATCACTGAATTTGTGTCAACAATGACTTATGGGATAACCATTATGTGGTATGCCTATAATTAATTGATTAAAAGTAATTCAGATAATACTCACACAAACCATGGCGAATTATCATATGTCAGGAGCCGAATATCTCGCATCTATCTATGGAACTGAGAAGGATAAGGTTAATAGATTGGTGTTTGGTATTTCATTTCACATGCTTTGAGGAGCTTTAATTTTGACATGGTAGTGGCAAAGATCCGTGTTTTTCCAGCAAACCATTTCTTCACCCTTCAAGTAGGATATTTCTAAAATCCAGAAAGTTGAGTCTTTTCTGGAGAAATATGACTTGTAAGAAAATTTCGAAAGTTGTTTTCACTTAGAAGAATATGATTAGATGATTTAATAATGAGTGAAAATAGTGAGGAAAAAGAAGGATGAAAGAGACACTGAGAAGAGTAAGTAGATAAAAAGATCAGTAATGTAAAGCATTGCAATTATTTTAGGTGAATTGCTCCTTCTACTTCAAAATAGGTGCGTGTCGACATGGGGACAAATGTTCTAGAACACATATCATGCCTTCTTTCTCACAAACAGTTTTACTGAAGAATCTTTACCACAATCCAATGATTGATACCAGACAAGCAGATGCCTTTGCTAAGGTTTGTATCTTTCATATTGTTTCTGAGTTTTTAGCTTGCTTAGTGAGTCTTTATTAACTTTCATACTTCCATCATGAACAAGCTACACATTTTACGATGATAGCGGTAGAGTATTGATGAAAACACTTTAATATTAGAAATTTAACTTTAGTCTTTTGGACCGGCCGTAGTTCTCACTTTGGCCTTATTTTCAGAGCCCAAAATTTAATTGAACGTGTCGTGATACAAATCAGTTCATTCGTCTCTTGGCACATTAGTTATATTGGTAAGACGCCGTATCTGAACTCTCATTTCAGCCTAGGAGATTGACATGAGAAACCCCTAGGCCTTATGGGAACTGTTTGAGAAATGATGGAGTGAGAAAATTTTCGGGAAGTAGTACATTTTAGCGAGTCAAATTTCAAAACATTCAAAAAAAAGCATGCTGAAATGGTACTATAAGGCGTCGTCACAAATTAATAAATATAAAAACGAATAACTTTTTTTTAATAAAGTTTCTTGATAAACGTGGCTTGCATGTGGTGACCACGGAATGTTAAATCTCATAATGGTCATTAGTTTTTGATTTGATAGGCAATGTTAATTGCTCAAGATTACTAAATTATTATTTAGTTTTGCATATGTTTTTACTCTTTTGATGTACGTACTTTTGATACGAACTTAGAATATTTATATTTGCAATAGTTATTTGCAACTTAGAGTTTGTTTAGGTTGGACAAATGAACGAACAGGAGCAGCAGTATTTTGAAGAATTTTTTGAAGAAATATTTGTTGAATTGGAAGATAAATTCGGTCCAATTGATGAGATGAATGTATGCGATAACATCGGCGAGCACATGATTGGCAACGTTTACGTAAAATTTGAAAATGAAGAAGATGCAGACAAATGTGTCAAAGGACTTGAAAATAGATGGTACCGCATTTCATTATTTTATGGTTGCATATATTCCAATATCTTCAAAGTGTCCAGCGAATAGTGGTAAATAGGTCTGAAAAATCACTGTCCGTGTTTGATGCTTTTAATGCCTACCTGTAACCTAGACGGTTTTGTTATCTAATAAGGAATGGGAAACTAAGGTGGTTTATTCCAAAATTTGAAGTTTTATAAATCTGGTGAAGCTATACTGTTTCTAATTTTGATAGTTTTGTGATTTTAGGTTTAATGGTTCACCCGTTTATGCGGAACTCTCACCCGTGACAGATTTTCGTGAGGCTTGTTGCCGGCAGTATGAATTGGGAGGTTGTAACAAAGGTGCTTTTTGCAACTTCATGCATTTGAAGCAAATATCACGTGATTTGAGACGAAAGTTGTATGGTTCTCGTGCAGAGTATCGTGGCGGTGGTTATTATGGTGGTGGGAATTGGCATGAAGGTCTGTACACTTTGTGTTTTATTGTAACGGTTTTAATGAATACATTTTACCACTAGTTTTCTGTGCAAGTAGATGTCAGTAAATATAATTAAAATTTTCACGCGGATAAATGCCAGTAAAACTAAGTATCGCATTTTATTCACTTAATGTCATAATAAAATTGTTTGCCCAGGAGGGTTTGTAATCAAAATTCCATGCGGAAAATATTTTCTTTTTACTTGATTTAATTTCTAAGAAAGAAATATAAATATAGAAAGAAATATAAATATAAAAAAAAGAAAGAAAGAAATATAAATATTGAAAGAAATTAAAATATAGAGGAAATGTATGAGGAACTTTCATGTAACAGAACAGCTTTTGTGGCTTCTTTTTATCTTTCAGATTATCCATCAACCTTTAGTTCCCGTTAATTTACTTTGTCATTTTGTGAGATCCATGACTCTTTATAAAGTGACTTTATCGCTTCTAATTATATGTTTTAGGTAGAGGAGGCGATTACGGTAGTTATTCTCGCCGTAGTGGAGGGTACGGTGGTGGTGGTGGTGGTAGCGGCGGTGGCAGACGACGCTCGCGAAGTCCTCGATCAAGACATCGATACTAATTGGATGACAATAACATTATGAAACTTTCTGTTTAGTAACTGTATTATTAAAAATTGTTTTTTTTTTTGTAATTATGTCGGTCTCTGGTAAACACAATGTATGGTCTCA